GTCTACTTAACATAATGCGATATGAAGTGATATCTCATTATGGTTTTGATTTGCATTTCCCTAATGAATAATGACATTGAGCATCTCTTCATGGGCTTATTGGCCATTTGTATATATTCTTTGGAGAAATGTCTATTTAAGTCCTTTGCCCATTTTGAATCAGGTTTTCAGATTTTGTTGTTGTTGTTGTTTAATTTCCTATATATTCTGGGTATTAATTCTATATCAGATAAATGATTTACAAATATTTTCTCCCATTCTGTGGGCTGCTTTTTTACTGTGTTGATAATGTCCCTTGATGTTACCAAAGTTTTTTATTTTGATCAAGTCCAATTTGTCTATTTTTTCTTTTGTTGCATGTGCCTTTGGTGTCATATCCAAGAAATCACTGCCAAATTCAATGTTGAGAAGTCTTCTGCTCGGAGCCTCATTTAAATAAGTCATTTTATAAGGTTTATGGAGAACACCTTTAGATGGAGCAAAAAGATAACCAAAATCCAGAGGAGGGGTTTATTCTTTCGCCAGAGACCCCACATCTTAATAAGTGATCTTTGCCATTGGACTCTGATCGGCCATGATAAAACATGAAAGAGGAGAGCTGCCTCTAATCATCAGTAACACGGAACATCAGGCGAAGGGTCTCCTTTCTACATCAACATTTACATTCTTCTCCTTTACATGACATTGGACCAAACAAAGGGCGAGGGGACCCATGGGCTTCAGTTTGCCCAGCTTAGTAACTTACTCCATGTGGGTCTATATATCCATGTATGGTTCCTCACCAACACCCCCATCCAATCTCCATCTCAAAGTGTTGAATGAATGTTGTGCCCATGAAAGACAGAAACTCTGACAAACAATTAGGGAAGGACCACGATCAACGAGCTAGGTAAGAAACCAAATCCAGTCCCGTCAAGATGTCGCCACTGAGATTTGCAGAGCCTGTCCAATTGCTGACCTTGGCTTCTCAAGCAAGAGAAGAGCATGGCTTGAGCAGCTAAATCACCAACACCAGGACGGTCTCTCACAGGCAAGCTCACTAATGCATGCATTTGCACATCTGTTCTAAACACTCACAAGTATAGGCTTTGAGGCACTCCTGTCTAGCTGAGAAGACTTTTGGCCAGGAAATTATAACAAGAATAATAATAATCGGTCAAGATTGTTCTGTCCCTCCAAAGACTGGCATTCATGCCATCAGAGCCATCATCACTATGACCTTATTCAGTGTAGGAAAGCTGAAGAGGCAGACCCAAATAAGCCTGAGTAGGAGAGAGCAAGTTCCTGCCCCTCCACTCTACCCAATCCTGATGGGCTGATCGCCTTTGGTTGGTGTGATTTAGGTAGGAAACAGGGTAAGCTTTGGAGATGAACTACATGGTTGATGGACTTAGGTTTGCATCTCTGCTTTAACATTTACTAGTTGTTGGCCTTGGCCAAATAATTTGCATCTCAGTTTCCTCATCTGTAAATGGGGGTAATTAAGTCCTACTTGATATGCCATGAAGGCTGGCAATGGGAAGTGCCCGGCATATACTAACACTGAATATTCATGGAGGCTGTTCCCATAGTGAGCTGTGTATCTCTCACTGACTCCCCTTTAAGTTCCTCAAGGTCAGGAACTGTGATTTATTTGTCATTAAGCCCCCAGCACATAGTAAATTCCCAATAAATATTTGCTGGGTACACATCCACAAGAAGACTCTTCTTCCCTTAATTCTGTGTATCATTTGGTGGTGAGTTTGAGAGGGAAAAATCAATAAAGAACTGCCCCCACAGTGCCTTTGCAGAGTTAAACCAGCTTCCTCTGAGGAGCTGCACATCAGGAGAACAGAGCTTTGAAGTCTTGACAGAGAAAGGAGGCCTTTGCAGAGCTACCTAGAAAGTGTTTTGCATAACAATACGCCCACAGATTTTTAACTGAGCACTTTTCCCTCAATTCCTGTGGATTCATTAAACTGACAGCTTGGCACCAGCATATTGATGCCTGTTTTCTAGATAACACAAGCTGTACGGGTGCTTCGTGTTTAATCCACTTTATGAATTTTTAAGCAATTGTGTGAAAACAAAAAACTCAGAAAACAAAGAAAAGATGCTAGGTTATTTCACCTAAAAAACAATGTGTGTCTCCTTTCTGTCCTCTTCCTTCCTTAAGTGGGTATATCTGCATTTCTGGTTGTTTCCCTTTGCTCAAAGAGTTTGAATTGCAGCCACTTCTTTTTGCCTGTTAAAGAAGGCTGTGCTCTAGGTCAAAGTGCTGGTCCTCAAGAAGATAAGAAGCTCAAACCAGAATGTAAACCAATGCATTGCTCCCTTCTAAGAAATACTGCTGTAAGAAAAAAAAAAAAAAAGTCAGCTCAACTACACAGTGTGCTTAGTGCTGAAGTTGATGTACATTCTGGCACAGTCTCCTATGGACAGGTAACAGCTCACGGACTGGCACTACCTGTGGATCACACTTCAGGAAGCATTGTTCTAGGTTACTGAACTCCCTCTCTGCCTGAGAATGTACTAGATTGACATTTACGATGATATTTGAAGGTTTTTTGGCCACCTAGTATCCTTATCCCTTCTTTTGGTAAAGCATCACAATACTGAAGATCTGCCATACCCTCTCACAGTCTGTGGGATCCAGGTAGGGATCCTGTATGATGAGGGCTGGCTAAACAGTGCTCTGAGTCTCTCTAGCCACTGTGACTGGTTCAGTGATTCAAGGCCAGCCAATCAGCATAATTCTATCCTCCTGGTTAGCTTTTAGACCTAAGATACAATCAGAGTAAATCCTGAAACTCATGCAGGAGCTACAAGGAAAAGAGTCTCTTTCCACTAGACTTAAAATCATGAGGATGTGAGTCTAGAGTCAACAACACCCGCGAGGGGAGAGACAGAAACTGGATTCTGAGTGTGTCATTGGAACTTCTGGATCGAGCCTTGCCTGAAGCTGGTAGCTACCTTCTGACTTTTCAGTTATATGAACCAGTGAATTTCCCTCTTACTTACAAGTTTGTGAGCTTTCTAATATTTACAACCAAAAGAGTCTGAAGTTATGCATGACTGCTGTACCCTGGACTCATTCTAAAATCCATATGCATTGGTCTTAAAGAGCAACTATGAAAAAGCAAAAAGTCAGAAGAGCTGCCACTATCTGGAACCAGAGGCAGATGACCAAGACTTTCCACACCTGAGTTCCTTCCTCTGTCAGGTATTTAACATCTGCCCTACCCATCACCTATCAGGTGACTATGAGAATCACATGCAAAGATATAGAAAAAAAATCACTCTGGAAACATATGAAAAAGCGCTGTACAAACAAACGAACAAAAATACTGTTATTATTAGCACAACACCTTAGTTATTCAAACTTCAAAATTATGGCATCCATAACTACCCAGATTCTATAAAAAATTTAATAGCTTTTGGACAACACATTGTTTTTTATCAAATGCTACACTCTGCTATAGGAGAAGAAGCACCCTCTGCAGGCCATAGGCTGTAAAGTGAGGCTGCAGACTGGCAGGAGCCTGATGGCATCAAGAAGAGGCAGCCATTTACAGTGATAAGGGGGAAAAAGGAAACGGAGTAAATAGAATATAGATTTCTAACCACTGCAATAAACATGTAAGTAAATATATTTTAAACTCTCCAAGCAAAAAAAAAAAAATTTTTTTTTTTTTTTAGTTTTAACTTGCAACTCTGATTACTTACAGGATTCTCTTGTTTGTTGGCTATGCAAAGATGACTCTTACAAAATAACATTACTTTTGTAATTCTGCAGATTTCTAAATATGTGGCCATTTTTGTATTTTCATATAACAAACAAATCAACAAAAGTTTTTATTAAACATCTATTATAAAAGAAAAAAAAAAAAAGAGGCAGCGGAAAGCCAGCGCAGGCCTTATGGTCTGGGCTGAGAACCAACATGCACCGTGGGTAATTTCTTAGGCCCACCCAGGACGTTTCTCCCCCACTACACACATCATCCCATCTACTTAAGCTTATAAATCATGAAAGAAAAATGATGATTTAATTTAGAAATTATCGCTACTAATTCTTAACAGCTATTTTGCAACTTTGGAGATGTCCTAACAATAATATTGTGATCCAGATAGGCATATCTTGCTTGTTTGTTTTTACTGTTTTCATATCTGGGATCCAAGGGACCAACATAACAATTAACTTTACAAAAAAAGACCAAAGTGTTTTGCAAATTTTGCACTTTCCCCCCAAAAAAGGAATGCAATCATTTTCTGATAAAAACAGTTGTCAGGGCACAAAACAAGAAGAGAAATTACTACTGTTGCTAATTTTTAAGGCACGTTCTGAATCTCTGGTCAATGGTGACTTTAATAGATTCTCATTACATGGCAAAATAACTCAGTTTTTGGAGTTCCATATAATGTAACTGGAAGAAGTTTCTTCTTCACAGCTCCCACCTTTAAGGAGCTCAGTCCTGGGGGGATGGGGCAGGAAGCCAGAATGAACACTTGTTTCACCAGCATCCCAGTGTTACTAGGTGTCAACTCCGTGCCAGGCATGTACACCTACGACAGAGCTCAGCGTGACCCAGGCCACATCACCAATGGGCAGGGTTATGGTTTCCCAGAAGTAAGAAGCATCTTAAGCCCTCTCTCCCTGCTCCTGAGGATGGCCTGCATTGAGGCAGAGCAGGCCGGCCCTGTCTGTGGCAGGCTCCACAAATGTCACTACTCTTTCTTACTGCATCTCCACCTGTGCCTCTACATCTGCATCTCCACCTGTACCTCTACATCTTATAAAACAAGTTGGCCCTCTTGTGTTATCTGTTTATCTTCAGTTCAGTGAGGAAAGGCAGGGTGGTAAAAGGCCCCATGTTGGCCTCAGGTCCAAAGCTTGTTCTCTAATTTAGCTATGCCATAGTTAAAGCTAATGCTCTGTCCCCTATTTATCCGGGGCACAATAAGTTAAAAGGCAAAGGGGCAGAAGAGAAAGGAGCTGTCCTCCCAAAACCTCTAATACTTACCAGTTTGGACAAAGCTCTGGAACCAGCATAGATCATACCCACAAACAGCACTGATGCAGGAAGCCATGTCAAAACATCAGATCTACAAAGCGGAAAAGAAGTCATAATACTTCCGTCACTTTATGTCCAAAAGACCTAGCTGGAAGGTATTACCCTTCAGATACACCAAATACAGCGACAGTGGTTATCTAAACATCCCTGAGTGCCTCAAGAAGTGTGATGTGGTCTGTATCCACTGAAAGTGATGGAGGCTGACAAAGCAATGTTGCCTATAGCCTGCCACTCTGCCAGTTGCCTAGTGTTACTGATCCCACAATAGGGCATAGACGAGCTGGAGATAGAAGAAGTCTTCCTGAAGGTTTGGAGAAAGAACAAATCTAATTTTTTTAGGGAGTGGTAAATATTATTCTTTGGATTTAAGTAGCCAGAAGTTTTGAACCTATGCCAAATTATTAAAAAATTTAAAAAGCTATTTACCTCGGCAATATATCAAAGAGCTCCATGGAATTGCACACACACACAGAAAAAAAAAACCCACAGTGTCAAGGAATTTAAAAATAAAAGAGTGCTAGAACTTGAGCTGGGTAGCCATGCGCTGACTTCTTCAACCATTAACCTAGAAGGCCGGTTCCAGGAATCTTTAAAGATTTGATTCGATTGTGGCCTCACCAAGAACTGCTTTTTCATTACAGTTTAAAATCTTGCTCTCCTCGAGAAAAAGAAAATCCTAGTTTTTACTGGGGTTGCAACTTGCTTCCCCCATCAGTTACAAATGCATTTGGTCTACTAATTCAAGTTCCCAGAGTTATTCTAATAATAGATATAAATAAATGAAACCATTCCAGCAGGATATAACATAATAATCCCAACTAAACTCAATGAACTGCTCTCCTGGGACGGTGCCTGCTCAAGAAATGATCTTTGTTAATTTTATTAGCATGGGCAGGCACTCCATCCATAATCAGACCTGCTCTTGTACAACTTCCCAGGGAACATGTAATTAAAATGCTTCCAGTCTCTAGTAAGTCCCTTCTTCCTGTATTCAGCAAATACTTATAGCAACTTGGAAGGTGGTGACAGCACCAGAATTACTAACAACATCACAGTTGACATTTATTGAGCACTTGCTACAAAATAGGCAGTATGCTAAATGTTTTCTACACTGTATCTTTTTAAAATCTGCACAGTAATCTTATGAGGAAAGTATTACATTGTGCAGATGAGGAAACTGAGGCACAAAGAGTTTAAGTAAATTGCCTATGGGCAGAAGGGCTGATAATGGCAAAGCCAGAATTTGAATTCAGGTTTGTCTGACTCCAAAGCCCCAGTTTCTAACCACTCTTTTATACTTTACCCTCAAGGACCTCATAATCCAATGGGAGATATCGACATATAAATAGATGAGCTATAAACACATGATTTTGCTTGGGTAGCAGACTAAGCAGCTAATAATCTGAAGAGTAGTCTCTGTTATTACTACTCCTGCTGCAATAATCGATATCTGCACTTCCAACCAAAAGGTGAACAGAGAAAGGAAGATGCCATCCTCCATCTTAACGGGTCAAGTATAACATCAGCCAATTGTTATTCCTCTAAGAAAAGTCTTTCCCATCAGACATTAAGGGTCATAGGAGACAGGATCCAAGCCCATGGCCTGCTGTGCACCGGAAGAAAGGCCAGAGCACAGACTGCGGGAGCACTGACGAGGAAGGAAGGGGTGCACTGAGTGAAATGGCAGCTGGCCTAGCTGCAGCAGGCCCAGGACTTTGGAATGTAAGGTCAGTGAGGCCCCGATATTTGTGCTTATCCCCTCAAACAAAACTCCTGCTTAATCGTGTACTCCAAGATGCATTAGGGTCGCTGAGTAGCCATGGATGCGCGGAAAAGAAAACATGGCTAGGAACATCTTGTATTTTAACCCTTCTACCCTAAAATATGAAGAAATAATTTTAACTAGAAAAAATATACACAGGTCTAGTTAGACAAAAAAAGACTTCCGGGAGATGCTACAAGGCAGCTGTGTGAGCATTTGGCTGCAAATATGGGACTATGACCCAGGAACAGGGCCTCTTGTGCTTGTGTTCTTCACTATTATCTCACTCAGGGTCTATCTTCAAGCTGACAGCCAAAGCGACATGCTCTAATGGTAGAACTTTAGACACCTGCAGAAGTGGTTGGCTGCAGAGCCCTTTCTTGGCCCTGTCCCCAGTCACTTATCAGTGAGACAGCTGCCTTCCCCTAACGCACCAACATAAAACTATAGCTGTATTAAGAATAATAAACATGAATCACTGGAGCAAACGCTGTCAAAACAGGTGTGGGCAAGACCAGTGTGAAAGGATGAGGGGAAGAGAAAAAATAATTAAAAATAGAGGAGGATTCTGCATTGATATTGTTTCAAAGTATCAAAGTTCTCATTTCACTGAATATCACAGACTGTATGTTAAGTATCATTTATGCAAGAAAAGATTCGAGGGGATACTAGTTGACAATTCATATATAAAGGAAAAGCCTTAGTAAAAGATAAGCAAAGTAATGCATATTTATATCTGGGGCCGATAAAATCCATGACAACTGAGTTTTCCATATTTTCCCAGGTAGCGTGGAGACAAGGTGAAGACACAAGCTACAAGGGTGGCAGTGCTTCTTTGTGCTTTTGCCATCTCTTGGCATATAATTTTTAAATCATTTCTTCAGGAAGAAATGAAACTATAATTTTAAAATCCTAGTTAGCTCTGAGGAGCTACAACTGAGAATTATTTCCTATAGCAATATAGCAACAGGGATAAAAATCATACCTGGTCTAGGACACTAGAGAGTATAATCTTATAACATTCACATAGTTACCCAAAGCATTGGATAGTATAATTAGCTCTCTTTGCTCCCAAGGAACATTCTAGCAATTAACTAACTTTAACCAGTCGCCCTAAGGGATGGACAGACTTCACACATTTCTCTGGGCTGTGCCCTTTCTTCTAGATCAGGTCACCTAGGGATGCGGTCATCTAGGGGTCATCTAGGGGTAGAGGCAGGAAGGATGTATAAGTAGAGAGCAGAAGGTCGTATGCAGTGGAAGGAACATGTCTCTGTAGTCGTGGTCAGGCAAACCTTCATATAGAAGACTTATATCCCAACTCTAAAGCTAATTGATTCATATCCCAAATCTAAAGCTAGTTTGCAATAAGAACTCAGTTTTCTTCATTTATAAAATGGGGATAATAATGCTAAGAGAGCAACTGAGATTAGCTAAGAGAGCGAATATGCAGTACTTGGGGCAGTGCATGGCACATTAAAATAACAAAACATTCAATAAAGGTTCTCCTCTAGCTTTTCTACACATAACCCCAAGGACAGAAGCCATTAAGGAAGATTGATAGATCCACCTAAATAAAATAGCCAAAAGACACCATAAAGAAAATTGAAAGATAATTAATGAGCCAGGAAAAAATACTGGCAACATATAAAACAGGCTGGAGTTTAATATCCTTAATGTATAATGAATGCTTACAAGTCAGTAAGAAAAAATTTGATTCCCCTCAAAGAAAAAAAAAAATTAGTGGACAAAAACAAGTAATTTTCTCCTCCCCTCTCATCTCCTCTCCTCTCTTCCCTCCCTCCCTCTCTCTCTCTCTCTCACATGTACACGAAATACAAATGGCCAATAAACATATAAAGTTATTCAACCTCCTTAATAATAAAAGAATTTTAAATTAAGACAACACTATACCAGGTTTTGCCTAATAAACTAGATATTTTTAAAGTTAGTTTCTAATATAAGAGTCATGAAATCAATTCCTTCATATTCAGCCCTGAGATATAAATTGGTATCTTTCTGGAGGGTATATATGTACTACATGGCTATACTTATCAAAAGCCTTAAAAATATGCATACTCTTTGAGGCATTTAAAAGTATCCCAGATGTTTTCATTTACAAGTGGAATAAAACTGCATTCTGGTCTCACTGCTGGTCATCAGATATGCTAGGACTCTGCCTGGAACCCTCTCCCTCCAGACACCTGTATGGCCCACTCGCTCACATCTTCAGATCTGCTCAAATGTCATCTTATCCGTAAGTCCTTCTTACTCACCCTATATAAAATAACCCAGTGGCACAGACACACACACAGACACACACACGCCTATCCCCTTACCTGGCTTTATTTTTTCTCTATACTTATCGCCATCTGACACATCATACACTTCCATTTTCATTTGTTTCTTGTTTATCTACTTCGATTAGAATGTAAGCTAGTTGAGGGCAAGGATTTTTGTCTGTTTCGTTCACTGTGCACCTAGAACAATGCCTGGTATATACAGTAGGCACTCAAATATCTGTTAAATGAATCACCACATATTACTTTCCCAACTTAAAAAAAAAGTTTTCCTTTCTCTAGATTGGTACGAGGGGAAAACAACAACAAAATATATCAGGAAACTCTAGTTGTGACCCCAATTCACATTTCTTCCTCTGTTTTTCTTAAACCCTTCAGAGACTTTACTCTGAATAGAATTGTTGGTGCTTATAGCTACTCAGTTTTTAAGAGCAGGTGTAAAAGCAAAAAATACCTACATCCTTCCATCTGCCCCTTTGGAATGGTCCTAATGGGGAATTTAAACAATTTAAACAATTTCAAGTTCAATAAACTTTTACAACACTCATGTTATAACCTATAACTATGACAACAAAAAACTAACTGCCTTAAAAATCAAACAAATTTGTTTTTCTTCAATAGACATAAACTTAGAAACTCGGAATATAGGCTATTTTGTTTTTCTATAATAATTTATCTCTTTTTCTCCTAAAAAAGTAGTACCTCTCCATGCTAGAAAATCTTGAAAATAGAAATAATCAAGAAAAATATTAAAATTACATTCCTACTACCCTAAGATAACCACTGTCAACACCTTGCTGTCCCCTTCCAGTGTCACAGGCACATATATGAGTACTTGAACAAAAATGGGATCCTATTGTATATATTGTTTTATAATCTGCTTAACTTAACACCTTTCCATGTCAAAAAACCATCCCCGTGCCCCAGGTGGAGCCACGGACCATACCCTAGGTGCGCCAGGCCCCAGGT